GCTGCTGCTGCTGCTGCTGCTGTTTTTTTCAGCAGCAGCGGCGGCGGCGGCAGGTATCTGCGTGGCTTCACCGCCCGGCTGCTGCTCGGGTGTGTCATGAGGCATGTGTTCTAGAGTGGGACCGCGCAATGGTGTTGTGCTGTGCCCCATAGCAGGGCGCAAAGCACACAGGCGAGCCGCGCCCTCGCGCGGGTGCGTCCTAAGGTCTTTTCGGGAGGTTCCGACGGTTCCGTGTAATTTCATTGGTTGGTCGATTTTCCATCAGCAAGATCCGAGGACGCTTTTTGTTTTTTTTTTGCTATAGGAAATTTTCCGCTTTGACACCCCTAACAGTCTCCTGATATTGTTTGCGACACGTACTTTGTGCACACCGCTAGCCGGCCTGAGCGCGTCCCATCCCCCCGCCCAAGTATGTACATATCCCATTCAGGTAGAGCTGCTGCGTGTATTGAAGTCGAGTTGGTCACCTGAAGGACTAGAGCCCAACAACGCCGGCCAGTTTCATCTCTGAGGAACCAACTCCGCCGCTGTTTCCGCCGCCTGGCATAAGGAATCCCCTACCTGCCTTTGTTGCTGTGCGTTTTCGTCTCTATTCCCGTATCGGAAAACCGCCCTCGGGCCGACGTCTTCAACAGGTGCTCTTCTGCGCGATCTTGGTCATTGTTCTGGTCTTGACCACCGTGGATCTGTTCACGGCCTGCTATACGCTGCACGCGACAGAAGATTTCTTGGTAAGTGGAGGGTCAGAGAAGCTGGGGGGTACTCTGCTGTAGGATTGAGATGCAGAAGGACACCGAGGAAGGTGTGGTGCGATGTGCCGATGAGACCATGCAGCCAAGTCGTCCAACCCACTCGTGTGCACACGGGCTGGATTTGCCTCCTCGAGCACCCGTTCACTTGCGTCCGAAGCACTGTGTGCGTACATATATGGACGTCACCTGCGAAAGACCTCTGGTTCCTGCTTCAAGGGAAAGGACACCCGCCCATTCCCCCGCGTACTCTCGCTGCGGGGGGGCCCTCCCTAACATACACCACCCGCCCACCCTCTAACGATACGCCGACCTCTTCCGTGTATTTTCGCAGACCTGGCTAGACGGTGAGAACATGCTCGCATTCATCGTGATATTCATCGTCTTCGGGGCCCTGTCCATCGTCATGCTGCTGCCGCAAACGGTACGTGTATGGAGCCGTTTGTGTGTGTGCCGTCCCTGCGCTTGGGATGTTCTCTGTGAACCCCCGTTGTGATTTTTTTCTGATCCGAACGCGAGTGATCTGCATGCAAGTCACGAGAGAGGAGTCTAGACGGTGGATGTACACAAGTGAATGTACTCGTCTTTTGGAGTGTAGGTGCTGTGCTGTTCGTCCGCCCGTTTTGTTCCCACGCTGATATCGACGTCTACAGCAGTGTTGCCTCATCTACGTGTCGGTTGTGAAACTGTGTGCTCTTGTGTGCCTAAAACATTGTACGTGTCTCTCATGAGCTTTACTTCAAGCACATACGTCGCGTGCCCTCAAACGTACATGGGAGAGAAGTCGGTGTCGTTTCGCTGTTGCCCACCGACGCTGACACAGCTTACTTCGCACGCTAGGTTTATCTGCACTGAAGCTAGTGCGCTCGACCCTGGAGGTACTTTTGATTTGTTGCACACGCATCCTCTTGTTGGCTTTGGCGTTTTGGTGAATCAAACCCCTCAATGACTTGCGGGGAGAACCGACATTGCCTCTCGCCCGTCATCTCGTCTTGTCTTTGTTCCGCATGGGGCGAAAAAATCCTCAACCGACAGACTTAATGTGGAAGCACGTGTGGTTGGCGTGTCTGCGGGTCAACCACGATTCCGGAGCAAGGCTTGGAATTCCGACCGACGTCGTACTTGCGCAAGCAACTCAACCAAAACCAACCCCATTCTGACCGTGTGTTTGTTTTACAGGTGCTCTTCCTGGCGGCGGGCTACGCGTGTGCAGACCGCCTCCGTAACCAGTACCTGGCGTTCGCCGTGGCGTTGAACCTGTCCCTGGTCACCTTCATCATCGGAGCATCCATCGCCTTCCTGCTGGCCAGGAGTGTTCTACCGCCTTCGTGCACGCGCAAGTTCTTCAAGCACTTCGCCATCCTCGAAGGTGATGAAGGAGGCGCCGGCGCCGCGAATACATTTATTTTTTGCGTGTTGGGTGGTGGTGCTGCCTCCCGGGCATGCCCATCTTCGGCCGGGTTCGGGCATTTGTTCCCGAGAGAAATTCATTCCATCGATCGAAAGCGGAAGTTTTATTTTGATATAAGCACCGCCGTGTTTTTCCCGCCACAACGGACGGATATCCGTCATGATAGTGATGCGATACGAATTTTGTGGTGTTTTGTGTGAACCATCGTCCCGAAACGCTTCGCCGCAGCACTACACGGACACCCGAGCCATCGCTCGGAGAGGGATATCCGTACGTGTCTGGCCATGTGCGCGCACTATTTAATCTGCAGTGTCTTATCCTCTCCCCTCCTCCGTGATACACCCCCTGCCACACGCTATATTCCTGTGTCGTATTATCACAGGCCTGGACCATGCTCTCCAGCACAAAGGGCGCCGAATCATTTTCTTGTGAGTGGAAATGTATGCTGCGAAGTATTCGTTTCGAATTGGTCTCAGCAGCAGTGTACAAAGTATGTGCGAGGGAGTATAATTTTTTCGCCGCTTGCCCCGTCGGGGTACTGCGCCTGTTGGTTTGCTTCAACACCGCACGCGTCCTCGGTTTCCTATGTGTTGACTTGCCTACCGAGCGATCAGGCCCTTGTTGAGGCGCGGATGGTTTCGTCTCACACCACCTCGGAACAACCAAAGCCTGACCAACAATCTGGCCGAAGTCAACTAAGTTCACAAGAGTTTTTTTTTCCCGGATTGAGCCCTTGCCTGTCCCGCGTCATCGAAACACCGCTTCGCCACCACCCCCGGCACGCGCCGCCAGGTTGCGCATCAATCCCATGTCGCCCTACAACGCGCTGAACTACGGGCTCGGTCTCAGCTCTTGCACGTTCCGAGCTTACCTGCAGGGGATGGTGGGCGCGTTCCCTTTCACGTGCATCGCCGTGTACGCCGGGATGCTCATTAGCAGCGTGGACGACATTGACTCGCTCTTCACCTACACGAGCACCGGTTGGTACTGCGTCTACGCGGCCCTGGGCGTGGCCTGCGTCGTGTCCTTCGTGGCCATCGTCCGCTACACCTCGGCCGAGATGAAGGCCGCCGTGCGCTCGGCGCCAAGACCCGCTGGTGGGGACAGGGTCGACGGGGAGGAAGAGTTCGGGGAGCTTCCGCCGGACTCTACCATGTTCGGGACGTTCACGTCTCGGTCGGAGTGTTACGGCGGCGAGGAGGGGCGCGGAGGAAATGCCGGTGCGGGAGGCGATGAGAAGGAAGAGGGGGAAGCGATGGAGACCTTCGACGAGATTGTAGTTGCAAGAGCGCCGTTGTTAGGCGGGGACCCACGCCGGAAAAACGGCGTCGCGGCGGAAAGAACGAGTAAGAGAGCTGCACGGTTATTTCCGGTTGTTGATGTTTGAGCGTAGAAAGAGCGGGGCTTGTCGATGGTGTGTAAAAATTTGATGTGCACGTGGAAGGAAAGGCTTTCCTTGCAGACGGTGATCTGAACAAGACGAGTGGGCGAGCTCTCGTGCATGTAGCGACTAAGTGAGTCCGAGGTGTGCTTCTTTGCGAGGCGCACTTGTCACCCTTTTTATTGGCGTTCAACAGAAGATGCGAAACCTTTGGTTTCACCCAGGCAAATGAAAATTTTGCCGTTTGTTTATACTTTTTTTTTTTTCATTTGATGGATAGAAGTTTAAATCCTACGGTTACTCACTCTTACTTTCCCAGTGATTTCGGGTGCTGTAGGCAACATCATTCAGATTTCGGGAAGTCAAGGTGGTATATTGGTGCCTGTTCAGTACATTTGCGGGCGCATTCTTGACAAAACCGGCACCAACTAGGTCAGCCAGATGTTGAACATGGAAAGGAAACCAGAAATATGGGCTTCGTTTGCACTCTGTTCTTGTCGCAGGTTAATCGAGCTGCCCCCAGGGCGACAAACAACGCTTGTGGTCTCAGCTGATACCGTGGTACATCTTGGCATGAAATAACGGAGCGACGGCACAATTTTATGCGAGTGAAAACTTGTGGACGACCCACACTTGGGTCTACCACGTTTTGACCAGGGCCATGACTGGCCCATGGTCTACAAATATGGCGTGGAGACCCTGCAGAGCACATGGAATGCTGTTCCGCCTTGTGCTGCCTCAACGCAGAGTCGCTCGGGCTCTGTTTCTTTTAGCCTGTACCTTTTTCTGGTACAGAGCTGCTTGATATACAGCGCGGTTGAGTGCTTTTCCTGCATCGCACTGCGCGCACAGGGGGACAAAGCCACCAAAACTATCTGTGTCCTCCGCGGAACTGCGGTTCGTCGAGAACCGGTACGCCTGAGCCAGTTACTTCCATGCCACCCCAATCCAGAGGCCCGCCCGCAAGGTCTGTCTCTGGTACCTCAGGTTCCGCGATGATCTGCAGGGCGTTGTTCGAGAAAAGGAGGGAAGGCGATTCATGGGCTCCTGGACAGACGACGTTGAGCGGTGAACCTTCGTTTTACGGTCCCATCCGGTACTAATCTGCCGCCACAGCAGTCCGTGCCCGGCGCAGATAACACCGATAACAGTGAGCGGGAGACAAAGTCTTCCCCATGTCCGGAGAGTGCAAGTGGAAAAAAAACTGGCATGGTCTTGAATGCGCGTGTTTTTGCATTCGCGTGTGTTGATCATACCTGTCTCCCCAGGTGCATCTTGAGTAGACGAGGCTTGTCGATCTTTTCGATTGGTCGCCCGTACACCTGCGGATACATTTCAGAGGATAAAAAGCCAGTACTTGTACGCGGGAAAGCAAGGGGAAGCTTGTACGGTCTCTTCACGTATACCTACATCAATTTAGCGCGTAGGCACTCTAGTGAAAACACCCCATATTGAAGATGAGGCACGTGGTTGAAGGCTCAAACCGTGGATACTTTTTTGTTGGCCATCTTTCGCTTGACCAATCGAGATCTTCGCGGAGAACCCGATGACATCAAATAACGTTGTTTCTAGCATGAACTGTTATCAAATACCCTCTGTAGCTCCAAATACGAACTGCTGTTGAGGACAGGTGATGAAGGTTCTATAACACGTGAATTTTAATCTGTCTACCGGCTGACACAGCGTGCTGTATGCAGGAAAGGCTATGTGACTTGTCCCATGAGTGCATCGGGAGGGTTTATTACGAAAGGCCGATCAGGCCGGTATGGGGCATGTGGCAATGCCCTCTTCGCAATGCATAGAACAGCACAAGCTCACTCGCCTGTGTATGGTGGGCACGGAAGAACTTCGGGGTGTCGTACGAAACAGCCGTATTGGCTTCACCATTGTACGCGAACGGGCGTGGTCTCCTTCTAAAGCTGTAGTTCGCCACATGCTCTCCAAACCTCTGTGATCGGAGAATGGCACAGGAATCAATTAGATGAGTGAAGCGGCGACGACAAACTTCACTCTGGGCGGTGCAACGCGAAGCTACAATTCTTCTATCCTTAAATCACTTTCCCCGGAGAGTAGACCTCAGAGCACCAGCCACAAAATGCCGAGACTTGATCTTATGATCTGTACAGGTCATGAGCCAATTTCCCGACCACTGACCGCCGGGCCGACGAGCAGCGGTTAGGAACGCTGGTTTGCCGCTGGTTCCAATTAGAACCAATTCGGTTGTACATACTCTCACCATCAGTCCATATAGTAAGTACGCTCGTCCTGGTCTCACGAACACTGTGTATCATACAGGTCGTCAAAACGAAGTAGCAGAAGATCACTCCATCTTCACGAGGAGTCCACCAACCTTGCTACGCATGAAGTCGGGAGACTCGACCGAGTTTGCTCCGTTCAAGAGTCTTTCGCCGTATCCCCCAGTCACTCTAGCAGCCTCCCCCCAAGGTGATGTTGCCACTTTGGACCAAGAAGGTTGGATGAGACTGGAGTCTGAGAAAATTCTACTCAGGGTGCACACCGGTGAAGCGGTGTAGAACTTGCTGTTCTCATCTGCTTCGAATTCAACTTGAGGCAGAAATATCCCGCAGCGTGCATCGCCTGCTGAGGGGAGACAAGGAACGGAGGCGAAAAAGGCTCATTTGCATACGTACCAGGCACGTCATTCGCACAAAACTAAATTGCGCTCTTTACACTTACGTTTCCCCCACCTCGTCGTCGAGGGCTGGCATCCCTGGCTCTTGCTGTTGTTGCCCTAAGAGTACCCCTTTCGCTTCTTGTTCTATCGGGTTGTGGAAGATTCGCCGTTTGGGCCCGAGCTTGAGGCAAGTGTGTTTGAGACCGAGTCGGCATCGGCGTGCCTGCGCGTGTCGAGACCGGTTTGGTAAAGATGGCTTGCGTTGTTTGGCCTCCACCTACGCGCTCCCGTGGACGAGACGTCATGGCGTTGTGCATGGTGTTCAACACACCCTTCCCTTGAGACTGTGTCGTGTTGTAGTTCAACGCAGCAGCAATGCGTGCCAGGTTCAGCCGTTGCTGTCTGGGCTCTTGCTTTTGCAATTTTTACGCATGAGCCGGAGGAGAGACCGTTTTTTCTCTCAAATCAAGATGGTCGTAATTCGAGCTTCCTCGATCCGGCCGCGTTTGTTTGTGACGTTTCAAACCTCGGACTCGGCGCACGCCTCGCACCCAATTTTGTCGCTCTCGAAATGGGGGAGAAGAACCGATTGACCCCAAGAATCACAAAGATCTGGGCGAACTAGGTTATTCTGTAGTAGTCTCACTCAGCTCGATGCCTCCGCAGTACAGATGCATGGGGTGCTGCGTGCCGTTGCTGTGTATGTTGCTGTGTACCTGTGTAAATTGATGCGAAAATGCGGCGCAATCGTTGTGACGTTTCGGGAACGAAGGCTGTGTAGCTGCTACACAGCAGTCCCGCCGCACCAGGGAAGACTACAAGACGGTAAAACGAAAGAACATGGGTATTCTTCGACAAGGATCATGTGCGGTGGTTGCTTCCTCTGAGCAATATCCCCCCCTATTAATTATCGTAGGCGTCGAAGGCACAGAAGGCGCTTCACAGCAGCAGTGCGACAATGAGTAGCTTCTTTATGGACGGGCGGTTTACAGACGCGTGGGTCGTCGACAGGACGTTGTTCGAGCATCTCAGCGGGGTAGGCAGCAACAATCTTGGGAGAAGCTTCAGCCAGGGTTCCCCGTGGATCTGCAAACTACCGTTGCTTGCATACATGTACTCATGGAGAGTTAGACATAGTTCGCTGATGACTCCGTACCCTTTCCCATCGTCCAGGGGGCGTGCTCTTGCTGTGGATTGTCTCACCACAACCTGGCAGCGTTTATGCAAGACTGCTCCGATATTGGTGAGGGATTGGTAAGGGCGGAGATGGGGGTTGCACTCAAAGCTAGCCGGCACCTGTCTATCGGTGACCATGATGTAGCTATGTGTGCGTACGCGGAGCCATTGGATGATTCTCCAACGATGAACACCCTCTGCTGTGCAGCCACTACAATAAGGACGGCCTTGACGAGCCAATATGGTGTACAAATGTGCGCTGCGTGCTCACCCACTTACTCTTGTACAAGTACTACGTAATTGAAGGGATATTTTTGTATTTTTTACACCAGAGACCGACGACGGGAGGAAGGAGCGCAAGTCACCGTGGCCTCCGGCTATGAGTGATGAGGTGTGGACCGCTCGTGTCAAACTCAGGGCCGCCATGAAAGGAGAGATGCCACGCTACCAGGAGGTATTCGCGGGCATGATATCAGATCCCTGTACACGAGGTAGCACCCTCCTCTTGTTTCAAGTTCTCTTCTGGCGTTCCCACATTTTGTTTAGTAATGTTCCTGGCATCATTTTGCACATATGTAGATGGTTGGGTAAGGAGGTCTCGTTTTTCTGGGGTGCAAGAAGCAAAGAATTCTCCTTCTCCATATATGCGACCAATCGCTGAATGGATACGGCTGCCCAGTAAAGGAGCCAAGTGCCGTGGGATATGTTAAGGTCGGCGTTGCCCTTGGTTCATATCGAATAGGTGCGCAATTGCTAAGCATCTCGGCTGCGAGGTCGGGATCTTGTGGAGAAATTTCCACACTTTGGTGGTATGTATGAGCTCTCCGGTCGTGGGTCTGCTGCTTGGATATCTTCTCGCAATACCTGTTGTCTCTCCATGTGAGAGAACCGGGACCATTAGACGATATCCCCGAGCATGTATGTCCCAACGGAGACAAGGCTGCCCTCTAAGCAAGAGCAAGAAATGTCAAAGAAGCATACGTTGCCAACGACATGGTAGTCGAAGCATTGAAGGGATGTGATGAGTTTCTACCCCATCTACCGGACGAGCGGAGAAGAAAAATCCTCAAGTTCTACGGTGTAAGGGCAGTCCCATATCAATCCTGCCCTGTGAACAATACCGCTCCGTGTAAGTACCATCTATCCCGTTCATACTATTGAAGAACCCTGATGTCCTACAATGTTACACAGCATGCCAAGATAAGATGCGTTCGTCTCCGCCGTGCAACCGTCCAATCCATGATAATCAGAACCAAGTTCTGAGCTGGCTGTAATATCTAGCTTGAAGCGGGCAGAAGTGTCCGTGCATTTCAATGTACGTGGCGAAACTTGTTTCATGCTCTTGCAGTTCTGGGGAAAGCATGCCCAGAAATTTTCGGAGTGGTGGACGCGTTTGCCGGCCGAGGAGAAACGACGAACTTTGAGCATGCCAGTTGATGAGGTGCCAGTCACATTTCAAGGGAAATATGACCTTCGTGGAGCATACTTTGTGGTAAGTCTCCGGTGTGGATTAAGTACCACATCCACGAGAAGGCATGCGGTTGACCACAACGAGCACAATTGTTTCCATCGAGGCATAGTGCTGTCTGATGCCTTCGTGGCGGCAGTCCATCATGCAATCGCTACTTGAGACTTGCCTATAGGGCGTGCTCAAAGACGCTTCTAAGAGTAGTAAAAGCAACGTCCGGCTTGGCGTCGTAGGTGTCGTTGACGTGATACAAGTTGGAGTGCTCATCGCACGACGGTTGTGGTCCCTGCCCCCACTTTTTTTCCTGCACTAGGTGATGAGTGCAGTAAACGACCAGCTACGAAACTTCGAGAAAACAGGCATCAAAGGCGACGGTCGGACAGCTGCCGAGCTTAGCTTTGAGGAAGGACTTAAAGTGAGCCTTGTTGCACACCATTCTCAGCGGCAGTTGGAATTGACAAAGACAAGTCTGCAGCCCCCATCCTCACGGAGGCGGCCGTCGATTGGAAACATGTGCAAACAGGCCATAAGAGTGGGGCGGTTGGACTCACGGTGCATATCCGAGGCGTTTCCAACGGAGTTCGTGCTTGTAATATGTTCAGGTACACCGAGGCGCCTACCTCGGGGGCGCCTTCGTGAAGGACACCCAAGCCGACCAATTTTTTGTCATGTGTCGGCAAGTCGGGGGGCCGAGGCTGCTGCCGTCTAAGCCTCGGGACCACGGAACCGCCACTTCATCGAAAAAGGAAGCTCCCACATCATCAGCCGCGGACTCTGCCAACGAACGCGTCGACTTCGCAGAGATCGGTTCGGCCGAAACGGAAGGGCAGGTGTGCGAGGAGTGCGTAAGCGTGAGACAGTATGCGTAGAGAAGGCATTTTAGGACGTCATATGCTAACGAATATGGTACCAGGGAAAGGGGCGTTACACACTCCGCCCGCGCAGATAAAAGCCTGAAGTTGTATGATATACGCGTGGGTGACGTGGATATTCCGTCGTAGTTTGTTGCTAAACATGCGTTGAAAATTCAACAGCGCTCTCGACACCAACATGTCTCCTCACGATGCCTCTGTGTCTGCGTGTGTCGGAATCCTTCGATGCGCATCGGGTCCTTACTCCTGGGCAGAGCTTTCGAGCGGATAGGCGTCTCATTCGGCTGGTAAGTCACTTCTGTGCCCTAGAGGGAATCACGTGACGCGTGTTTTGGACGCTTTTGAACTGGCAAAAGGAGATCGAAAGTACTGCAGACGATACAATTCGGAAATATTGAGCTGCAAGATATTGCTCTACTAGTACTTGCTGTTCTTGGTGCTTACGGACTCAATGGACCTGCTGAAGGGTCCAATAAACCTGCCACCAAGAGTGTCNAGAGAGAGAGAGAGAGAGAGAGAGAGAGAGAGACAGAGACAGAGAGAGAGAGAGACAGAGAGAGAGAGAGAGAGAGAGAGAGACAGAGAGAGAGACAGAGAGAGAGAGACAGAGAGAGAGAGACAGAGAGAGAGCATGCCGACGGACACAGACTGTCGGGCCAAAATCAAAGTCAGCGACGCGATCTATGTAGTTGGTTGACTTCGATTCCAAAACTCGCAAGGCCTGGGCAGTGCTCTTAAGGTATTGGTACGGCACTAGTGTCACACCGTGCCCTCGATGCCCTCTTTCCTCCACCTGCTTCCTGTCCCTGAAACTATGCAACTGGGCCGCGCATGTACCATGTGTCGCTCTCAGGTCGTCTTCCGCTACATGTTCGACAAAGCAATTCGCAAGTTCCAGGCAGACACACGCAAAGAAGAGGAGGTCGGAACAGGGCAACCTTCGACCAGCTGAGAAAGGGCGAGGGATTGTTTTGCTATGGAGATGTTCAGGCGTAATCCTCTCGTTCAGAATCATCATTCAGGCTGCGTATGGATTGGAGCCGGCGTGATATATTCGGTTGGTATGTAACGTATGCGGAGCAATGAGTGCTACATTGTTCGTCTCGTCGTTCTGTGATCGACCTCACTCTTGTTCATTTCTCTGTGAATACGAGGGTGGCCTGGGCATCTCTTCTACGCTTGCCACCCCTTTCAAACTATCGTCATCGTCCTACCGGGACTACTCTGTCCTGTGTATGTTTGTGAACTTTATCTTGTCTGAATCTTGTGTTGGCCGCAAGCACCGTGTTATCAAGATCACGCAATCTTCTTCTCTGAGGTACTGCTGCAGACTACTTTCTGCGGTAGCAAGTTCTCTCAGCCATCACGTTCGACAGTAATAGCGTCGGCGGGCGTCAGTCTCTACTACCACGCGCAGGGATATACACGTCAATACTCCAGATGGTTATGGACCATGCAAACATAGATGGTGGTCATGTGTTTTGACAACATACGGGGTCTCGACAACAATTTTTTCCAATCGCAGTTCCGTGTCTGATGCGAAGGTTCATCCTCATCACGCGGACGACATGTCTTGCACGTGCGCAATCGGCTATCTGTGCGGGATTACCAAGCCTGCAGGTCTATCCCGACCGCCTTCGTGAACGTGGAGTAGAAACAACTTCGAGCAGTGTTCGTCCAAGTTCAGAAAGATGTAACCTCCCTCTGTGCGACCGTGTCACATCGTAGCACCGACATGTGTTTGGCGGGGCGTTCACGTGCAACCACAGGGAATCAATCGTGTTACTTGTCGAGGAGCGTCAACAGGCTCGAGATGACACCCAGAGATGTATCACCGCACGATGGTCTTTGAGCGCTCTCTCTGCGCTCCACCAGCAGTTTATTTCTTGGCCAATTTCGATCAGCCCGTGCCCAAACATTTCGCATTTGAGCACCAGGGTCATAAGTGAATCAAAGAAGGATTCACTACGAGCAAATCTTTACGCCTTTGCGTCCCTGCTGCCTTTTTGTGAGCGAAGCACCGCTACGGACTTCGCCGAAATACATGTGTAGGCGACCAAACTCTCGACAAAGTGCAGGAGTTTACAAGCAGTAGTTCACCACAGGTTAGGAGAACTTGTGGGCGGGTAATCAAAGAGACGTCAGCAAACATAGAGGAGCTAAATGACACCGCTCGGAGAAAAACAAGAATCTACCTCAAGAGCCACACAGAAAGCCTGGATCAATGTCCTGAGTCCTCGTGAGGGGGCACGGCTGGCGAAATCTATACCACCGAAGTAGTTTTCAGCGGAAATAGGCAGGGCAAATGTAGACAGACCGCAGCACATCGACCGAGTACCCAGATAACATGTGGAACGAAGATTTTGGTCATATCCACGTACCCGGTTCGACAATTCATGCAAAGCAACGAAGAACAAAAGCCGACCCGCTGTAAGAGGGCATACATACAATTCACAGAAATTAACTACCCCTTTGCCGCTCATGACGCATGCTTGCCAGTTCAGGACACCACGTTAGAGTCCAGCCAGCCCAGCACATGCGTGTATCCATCCACCCAGGTAACCTGGATCTCTGCAATAGCAACCTCCCGCCGCGGCCCGGCCGTTACACTCCCGGAGGTGTCGTTAGCTGTGCTGCTCGAGTCGTCGCTGCTGCTGCACTCGACCTCTTCGAGTGCTGCTCTCCTCGAAGTTTCTCCGCTGGCGATGTCTCGAGACCTCACCACGGCATCGTGCCCGAAAGCATCGAAAATGTCGCCCGCCGTGTACATTCTAAACGTTGGCGGAATCAAGGCCACCCCGGCTCGGTCCTGATGTTTAAGACCGTCAGGAATAAAGGCATGTCTGGGTGTCGCGCAATCGGTAGTAGTAGGTAGTAGCAAGGCGAAGAGGACACCTCCGAAGTACAGCAGTACTCGGGATCTGGACACACCCCTCCCGTCGACTCACGCCACTTTGTCACCAAGGCGATCAAGTGCTCTACCCAGTGACTATCTATCCAGAACAGACCAACTCCCGAAGTGTCACGGAAATGGGAACGAAAATATTGGGACAACCACGCCATAGGTACCTTGAGACAGCCATCAAAAGCTCCGGGTACGTCGAAGAACACCCTCCTGAAAGTACTCTCGCGAGTTGGGCCGAATAATCTGAGGTCCACCATCGCTTGTCCCTCTCGAAACCAGCGCTCGTCGCTCACGAGCAGCAAAGACCTCTTGACATCATCCAGCGACCAGTTCTCTGGGGGTAGCCCCAGCTGTAGCCCCTCGACCGCTTCCAGCACCAGCTCTCCCTCTATGTGGGGACTGCGATCAAGACAGGCGTGTGTGAAAGTCACAGAACAACGCCGCACTTCAACGTCAGTGTTGCGGGGCGTTTCGGCATGGATGTCGCTGCTTGTTTATAGCATAGTGTACTGCTCGTGCCGCGCATTGTTTTATCATTATTCTCTAGGTTCGATGTGTCTCTCTTAGAGTTTTCTTACTGCTGTTGTGTACCATCCTTGGCGTGAGTTACTCTGTGAATACCGAAGGCGCCAGCGGCGTCAGTTGGACCCGTATGGATGTTTGAAGTGGGCAGATATCAAAACGGTTGTTAATGTGAAGAATAGCAACGGAAACAGCTGGAAATACACGCGATATTCGTTCCCTTCTTGTTCAACAGCAACGTACTTCGTAAACTGCAATACCGTGATCCTTTTATCTGTTAACCCGCACTACTGGTTTCACATGTGGGAACGTTTCGGTACGCCGCTAGCTTCAACCTTCGACACAGCAGAGCCCAAAACAGATATATTTATTATCTAGTTGGGGGTGCTTGCCAACCCGCATGTGGGTGCTCCACGATGTGCTATAATACCGATGTGCAGTTGGAACTCTGCGAGCCGAACCTTCTTGGGATATATAATCTCTCCTATTTTCTTGGATTCCGACTAGAAACTAGTCGCGGCCCTTGGCAAGAAATCAGGCGGATGCTTCGAAAATACAAATTGGTAGGGTTGGGTGCTGAACCAGTACGTACTGCCAGTGCACATGCACTGGTAGCACATGTGCACTGGCTGCGTCAGCAGCCAGTACTCCAGTACATTCTAATATTCGCAGATTTCCTTAATAATGGGCCTCAAGAACCAGCGGAAACCCATCTATCGGAACAATCGAACACCCCCGCGGCCGCGAAGAGGGGCTAGGGTAGTGGCTGCCTTTGATGGTGGCTGTCTTTGATGGGCTGGATCGTAGTTTGGTTCTCTGCTACAGGTCGCTGGTGGCGCAAAGAATCACCATTCTAAGTCTCTGCCTGTTGTTATGGTGCTAGCGGCAGTGATTCGTGCGCGGTTAAGGTTTCGGTTGTGCATCTTTGGCGCTGTTCTCATCTCCTACTTGGACATTCTATCTAGCTGGTGGTTCGTTTGTTGCGCAACTTATCCTGTCGTTTCTAGGTAGACTAGTAGATGGACTAGTCGTTTCCTTTTTAGCTTCTTAGCTCTTAGCTGGTTTCTTGGTATACGTTGAGGGCTGCCGGGTCGTTGTGTCCTTCGTAGAGTCCTTCGTGTTTCTGCGAGAGAGGGGCTGTAGAGTCCAGTATACGAGGGCGTGCTCATGAACCCAACTGATGGATGTCACTTGGTTGCTGGGGAGTAACATCTCAATATTTCTAGATAAATATTTCCTTATGTCGAAAACCAACAAATTCAGTCGTTGAACTCGAAATTTCTATCGTTTTCCCCGCGATAGTGCCTCTGCCAGATGGGCCAAAATCAGTCACTTTTTATGCTGAAGCCAAATCGCGCAGCAGCCAGAATACTTTGTACTGGCGCTGCGCGCCAGTACCCAACCCTACTTTTGAATTGGTCCTCTACAATAACGAAATCACAGAGTTTTAACTGCGAAAGTTGTGGCGAAAATAAAAATACCCCACGATTGAAGTTGAACTCTTACAGCATTGAATGTTAATGGAAACATGCTGAACTACAGTACTGCTGGATACTAGACTGCTGGTCAATAAAATGTGGTATTGCAGTCAGGCGAGAAGGGCCAAGGGTCCGACAACGTTAAAATTTTAAAATTTTCCCGCCCTTTCTAGGGGTAGACCATGATCCGGCTGTGGATCACACAACACCCGCCGTGTACACATCACGGAGGCTACATCGGGGAACGAAGACACGGCGTGAAAGTACACTGTAGCACGGTGGTGCATGCATCCAACCTGAACAAAGATGCATCGTGATTACGAAAGCTCTTTCTCTCTCACCCTTCCGAAGTTTCCTGCGATTCCAGCTGTTCCAGTACCCAAGTCCAGTTCGCAGGCAACACGTCCTCAACCTGATACGCGGCCTCCCAAGCCTGAAACCAGGCTGCTGTTACGTGCAAATCCACTGAGGAATGCCACTCGTTAGGGCTGCCGTTCCTATGCATCACGGCGTGCTCCCAGGCTTGTCTCAATGCTGGTACAAGAAGGTCTCGCTCCTTGTCCCCGCTAAGCGCCCCGCCGTAACTCCAAATGGCGGCGGAATCATCGTCGACAGCTCGTGACGCGACGAAGAACGCGTCGGTCACCGCTTTTAGTATCAAGAGCGTCTCGCCTCCAGGCGTTTCCTGTTCGAGCGTCGTTTCGATCAACTTCTCCATTCTCCACAGAGAGTCTATGCCGCTTCCACTTGGCTGCAACAGTCTAGCCATCTCCGTCGGATCGAACACAACGCGCCGACCACGGTCGCCAACAGCAGCAACGTATCGATGCCAGTTCTTCACAGAAAGATCGAAGCAGTCGGTGCCCCTCCCCGCTGCTCCCACTTCATCCATGTCCTTGGCTTCATGAACGCGCCGACCTGGACCGAAGTCCTGGATGAGTCGGTCTTCTCCTTCGTCCTTGCTGCTGGTGAGCTGTGTGCGGTTGCGCACAAACGGAACCAGCTGCACCTCCCGTGGTTCCCGTGGGGCATCTCCGCAGCGACTAGCGGTTAGAAATGCATCGGCGAAAAATGACGCTCCCTCCATGACTGCTATCCTCGAGGCACTGCCGTCAGACTCGTTGCAACTGCTGTGCTCCCCTCTGAAGTGTTCGCATGGGGCTGCACGGGTCTGTCCGGCTCGCTTCGTTGTCGTCATGCATGATGGTTCAACCGTTCAACCATATGGTTGACACTGACTGCTGCACTGCTGGGCTGCAGAGAGAAAGATTCAACCAGTTTTTCTTGAATGAGACTGTGGCAAAGCTCCCCGGGATTTCGCAGCAGGCGGTATCTCCTGCTGTATTGCCTGCTGCCGCCGCTTATTATCCCGCCGCTCCAGCCCAAGGCTCTGTCTCCCACGCCAGAACACCAATGAAAAGATGTCAGGCTTGTCCGGTGATGCCAACGCTGCCGCCCAGACGTTGAAGTGTGATGGCCCTTTTCAGGTCCTGAAGCTGAACCCGGAGGTGTACGAGCCACTTGAGATCAAGCGGTAGGTGGGTCGCATGTCTTCGTTTCTGTATTTTTTATTAGAATTGACCGCGCCTGCCGGCTGACCAATGAAAAGACGTCAGCCTTAGTGCGGTTGAAAACACAAAACACTTCTATCTGCGATGAACTGGGACCCCGTGAGGAGGCAGCATGGGGGACGCTAAACTATTCTTCGGATCAAAGACAAAACGGTGGCAACACAAGAAAACTGCACGCGTCTACCAAGGCTATTACTTCCTTGTACTCGAGTTCGTCTATGATAGGAGTACAGCAGTAGTACTTGCACTAATATCCTCCTTGTTGTCGCTACCATCATTCTGATCATTTTGACAACAATCTCTTGGCAGTGCTTCCCTAGCCCTGTGTCTTTTCTTTTGAGGAAGGTCAGGCGGCTCAAACGCGTTGCTCTTCCACTCCTCCATGTTTTCCTCCTCCATCGTCGTCTTCGTCCTCCTTTCTTCCCTTTCCCTTTCCTTCGTCTCCTTCACTCCCAAAAGAATTACCCTCATTACTGTCGTTGTCGAAGAGATCCCAACCGATTGGCCCTGGTGGAAGTTGGTCGATCAGTAGCCCATGACGTTTGAACACATCTCGAGTTCGCATCGACCGAAAACGAGCTAGCTCGAAGGTAAACCGTCTCCGAATCCTGTTGGTGTGAAAAGCTTTCAGGCGAAATATGGCTCTTTCGTCGTCAGAATTCCCCCGGCAAAAAGCTTCGTGCGCCAAGCTTCGTGTGTGTGTGTGTGTGTGTGTCGTCGTACTCTGTAGCAGGCTACAGTACACGTCTTAGAGGCCGTCTGGACTACAGGGTAAGGATATGGCTACATGTACATGTTATCAAGAAAACACCGCGATATAGAGGTGGCAAGCACACAGTCGTGAATAAACGCAAACGTACAGAGGTAAGATGGAAACTGCTCAGGAGCGCCAACAAGGGAGAGCAAACTCCAGCGTACACCGGCCTCATTATTGTCCCCCGCGTGTGCTGAGACCCTTTGTACATACCTGGGTCCATAAAACCTCGCGGTAGCACTGAGCAAGAGGAGTTCAACCCAACATCACACGTACATATTCGCAAAACTAACAACGAAAAAATTGATAAAGAGTCGTGACTCCGAGTCCATATGTTTGACGTGGACCTCCCTGCTGCACGCAACGACAACATTCTGTCTTAACAACTGCTGTAGTCTAGTCCGCACACCACAAGAGCGAACACTTGGACGTTATTTAGCACCGTTGACGAGGGAAACGGACGGCTGGAACCTTCTCGCGATAAATACAAGTTTCAGCATGCGCCGCAGGATGAAGGTGGGGTACGAAAATGAATTAAAACAACGAAAAAAACTGCTGTTGACCGCCTTCTGTGTGACCCTGGATGGTTGTAGTCGTACATTATTACTCTACACACACTGAACAGTGTAGTAAAGGTCTCATCACGAAAAATGGGGGCACTGTCGCCATAATGAATTAGAGTAGGACGAACACAAAAACACAACACTCCATTGGCGAACCCTAAGGTTCCCAGTCTCGGGAAGGCGCAACTGCACCTCTGCCGCCCTGTACCTAACAGTTCCATTGCTGCCGTGCCCTTGATAAATTTGCCGCGGCTGGGCGTGTATTCCAGGCAGTACCGGCGCTTGGCGCTGATTCTGCACCCCGACAAGAACAGACATCCAGGTGAGTTTCATGTGCAGGTCTTATAGGTCTAAAATCTGCACTGCTGTTAAGAAGCGTGTTTGCACAAGGCAGGGTTGACCAGTTAGGTCTATGACTTGTAGTGTTACAAAGATGTGATTACACACGGCAGGTTTCGAGGACCCACCTTGCTTCCGTCTTTGCATCCCTTGCCTTGCCATTATGTTGGGTCGACAAGCTTAAATACCTCAACGATGGAAATGTACGTTTCGAGGATTGTGAGGGATTGCATATCTTGCTGTTTACTTGCCGCGCTGGGCAGCCGCAAAGGCTCCACAAGAGCTGCCCTTTTTTTTTCACACACCCCTACATACGGCCGTGTTACCTCGTCGTCATCGTTTTCGCTGACGTGCGGCTGGCGGTGGTGCTGCTGCTGCGCGATTGTTTGCCTTCTCCACTGCTCACCCATCCTCCGCGAAAACAGATGCCGAGGCAGCCTTCAAGAAGCTAACTGCGGCTTTCGAGAAACTCTACGACCCTGCCCAGCAAGCCTTGTGTAGGGCGGAGGCGGAACAACGAAACCGCGGCAGACCTCGAAAACACCGAGGGGACTCGCGCTCTGGCGGTCGGCCTAGCGAGAGCAGGCATGAGTACGGCGGAGAGGAGAGTTCCAGCGCGCGTTCTGGACGAAACGGGCCAGCAGAGGCACCTCGGTGGTGTCGGGAGGGCGAGTACGTCCCAGAAGAAGAGCGAAAACGAGAAGAGGGGCCGGACACGGAAAAGACACGACCAATGGACGAATTCTTGGAGGAGTTCGAGCAACGAGAGAAAGCCTTCAAGGAGGAAGTGGTCCGAGCCAAAGAAGCCAGCGCCGAGAGGAAGGTGAGGTTACACCTGACAGCGCACGTTTGCCTTGTTTGTTGCAACGGTGGCGCGCTTTTGCGTGCGTCATCATGGGCCGAGGTTCTGACTTTCTCCGCCTCTCGTGGATTCTCTGTTGTGTGGTTCCTGGAATACCTGTTCGTGGGGCATCCCACTCACCACCCATGTGATATTTTCACGGCAATTTTACCCTGGCGGTGGGAAGCCACTTTCAACAGTCAACAGCAAGGTGCCAGCAAGCCCATGTTGTCCTGCCAAGGCGCGCATCGGACATCATATGCCAATCAATCTACTCACCAGTAGAAAACCGACGAGGCATTCCTACTTCACCTCCCTTTACGTGCCCCTCGCGTCGACGCTGCTGTCGTCCTTACCTCTGCAGCGTGCCCGGGCGGAGACTCGCTCAGTGCAGGAGCAGGAACGGATGAGCCGGCTGCGCGACGACGTTCTAGGGAGCGAGGTGGAAGCCAAGACCGCAAGCTGGCTAAAATTCAACTCCACGACAACGCTGAAGCGCAGAGGGGGGGGGGGCACAGCAGGCCGGCGAGCAAAGGCCAAGAGGAATAACAGCAAGGGCGTGTCTTCGCCGGTGGTAGCCTGCAGCCAGGGGCAAGCCTATGGGGCTGAAGGATCACGAAGTGGTGTCGAAGGGAGGGGGTTTGATGTGCGTGATTTGAAGAAGGGGGTTGGTGCCGACGCAGCAGCTGACCGATCGGATGACTCAAGCGTGGCGGGAGAAAAAGCGGCAGGGTCGGGGTTTGCGTGTTGGATCTGTCGCAGGGGATTCAAGTCAGCCAAGGGGTTGGCGCACCACGAGGCCAAGTCCGAGCTGCACGAGATTAACGTCCAGCTCCGGGAGTTCCTTTCCCCGTGAAACGAACCACGCTTGAGAAGGGTCCACAAGAAATGAATCCAGGCAAAAAATATCGCAGAACGATAGAGAAGTGTCTTTGTTTCCTTACTCCCGTTCGTCAGAGCGGCAAGGACATAAAAACTGGGGATTTTCCTGCCAGACACACCCGTGAGCATTTGCATCAACCTTTAAAACTCCTGTTTTGCGGCCAAACAATAGTTAATTCGTTCGACTGGTCGACATGCAGCTCAACTTCGTTGGTAAGAGACTCTACCCTACGCTGTGCATTAACTTGAGAAACGGCACCAGAAACCAGAAAAGCACCGCCGGCAGCTTCACACCTATCCTCCCTTCTCGCGAGTTCGAAGCACACCTTCGTGGCAAAGCGGAAAAAAAACGCGAGAGCGTCTCGAAATATTGCAGTGCTTTCACGAGGTGCTCCCAACGGCATCAACGCCAACCATGTAATTACATCCGATCCACTGATAAAACGAGTCCCGACCCACAAGACAAGAAAGCCACAACGAGAAACAACTTAAGTAGTTCCCGGCAATCGTTCTACCATGGATGGACAAGTGGTCACATCCTTTCCGAGCCCAACACCTTGACTTCGTTCGCGGTATCCTTGCCTACAAGCAATGTGGTCCATCGCCAGAGGTACAACAAGCCGAGTAGCCCGATGCCTGCGGTGCGGTACACAACCAGGGGAGGACCGAAGGAGTGAAAATGACTGTTACTACTGGTGTGATGCTATCATAGTGTATGGAAAGCGTGCCGAGTCTGATCCAGAGAGCAAAATAAAAGCACAACGAATGCATCTGCCAGAAAAAGCATGTCAGACGTCAACGATCGACGGGCGAAACGTTGTGATTGGCTCTGAGGGGTTACAGTACCATCAGACATACAAAAAGGCACCTTCCTCTCACCTACAAACACAGGAATGTACTTTCGGAGCCTCCTCCATCCACAAAACCTCCCTGCCCCAGCGCCCCCCGCAAATGATGCGAGTTGTTGTCTCTGGGATTGGCGGAGCGTGGAAGAGCAATACAGGGGAGCAAAGGGTTGAGCGCAATACCACGAGACGACATGCTCCACCATAGTCATGGCACGATCAAAGAGATAGCAAGCCAGCGACGACACGTTTTCCATTCCATCGGCAGTAGTCAGCAGAAATGAGTGAGCGCTCAACAAAGTTGTGGGCCACGTGCGACGAGCAACCACAACCGCAGGTGTTCAGGCCCGACCCAATGATCGACAGGTTCAGGCTCACCGCTCGCTCGCTCGCACGCGTTTCCGGCCATGTACAGAATTATCACCCGAA